CAGTACTACTCTGTCCCCTTTTTCAACAAGGATAAGGGTATGACTTCTCTTATAGGATAATACTAGTTCCTCATGTCTGGTATTCTCTTCTGCAGGGGATATGGGGCTAACTTCAACCATAGGAGACGAGGAGAGCGTCCTCTTTATCCAGAAGGACTGGCTAGATAAGCTTAAGGAGAAGAAGACGGCTGGTGAAGACTTCACCTTTGTTGTCGACGAAACTTTCCAGTACGGCCAGGATAAAGAAAAGACTCAGCGTTGGCTGGTATTCCACGATAAGAACAGAACGCCTTACCAGGTAAGTTGTTACGTAGTATAACTTAGTAAGGTAGTTTGATTAAGAAGAGCTAACCTTATCTTATAGTGGCGATTCGTTGCAAGTATTAAACAGAAACTTGGTAGTGTACTTGCTGGTTTTGCTGGCGGAATCTTTAACAAGTATCTGCCAATTGATATTGGCAATATTGGGGTTTACTTTGGTGACCCACTCCGCAACTTTTGAGGAACCTGCGCCTACAGAGCAGGAGAACGTACTTTATTAGTTGCGTAAACGCGGATATGTGCTGTTTGTTATTATATCCTAAGCGGCTTGGGACCTAATAGAAATAATAACCTACTTGAGTAAATAAATTATTGCCTTGATTTAGTATTCGGTGTTATACTTATTACCTGCCTTTGCTATTACTCCTTTCGTATTGTCTACCTATCTGTCTATCGGTGGGCCCGATCGGGGTGGAATACTGGACCCTGGCCCACGATCTGGAAAGAACGGAAAATCCAGATCTTGAATGAGCCAATCTTGTATGAGACCCCGGACCACCTGCAACCGTTTATATAGCCGATTCTGTCTGAATCAGACGGAATCGGGGTGGAATGATAGTAAGGGTTTAGTAGGAACCGCAACGCTTTACGGGACGGAATACTTGAGTAGTAGTAGTATTTCAGCTAGCCACTATACCTTTGATGCTTCGGCTTCCCTACTGTTTTTGTCTCTATTACCCTAGTAGTTGCTGCATGCATAGAGCTAAGAAAGCTAGCAAATAAAGTCAGCTATCCACTAAAAACCGTAGGTGATTTTAATTCGAAGAAGCTCTGCCTCTTAACCAGCCACTAACTAAATAAGTAATTCAAAAGTAGAAATCAACTATACTATTCTATACGCTTACTATGCACTTATACAAGTATAAAGAAGACCTGAGGCGGTTGATTTACGAATGCAACTGAAACACAGTCTTGTTACTAGCAAGTAGTTAGTATTGTCTGCTGGCGTAGCTTACAAATTCAATCAACTAGAGCGAATAAGGAGCTATTCGTCCAACTCTTGAAGTTATTATCGGCTTACTCATCTTATAATAAGCAAAGTATATAAGTATTCAATTGATATGCTACTCAAAAGTAATCTACCAACCCCCAAGCTCTATCTTATTAATGAACTAGAAAAAGATTAATACCTACTTTGTTACTTTATTATTTCGAAACTAATCATCTATCACTATGGGTCAAGTTGCTAGTGCTATTGCGAACGCGCTTGACAATAGCAAGGAATAGGAAGCAAAGGCTAAAGAACAGCTTGAGCTTATGATGAAGCTTGCTGATGCCCGATTAGACACGTTTGAGGCAGAGCTGGAGAAGATGTTTCTGGACCATGAGTCCGCAATGAAGACGAGTGTTCCTGGAAAGAGAGCACTCCGATTTGAGCGTCATGTCCAAGTTGACGCTGAGAAGACAGTGAGTGGAGTTAACTCCTTATAAGGGATATCAAGCTAAACATATACTTCTATAGCCAGGCAAAGGGGTAGATGAAGCTGTGGATGCCTTCTTCGGCTCTTCTGATACTGGAAGTCGAGGCGTTCTCGATGGCTTCAAAGCTGTTGTTAAAACCGGTCTCTCAACCATTCTTGGCGACACCTCGGCTGGTGAGAGCTATGATAAGAAGTTTTTTGTTTGCGTTAAGCAGTAAGTCCTAGATCTATAGGTTGATATTTAATAGACTAGCTGACTAGCCATAGCAACGCAATCATTCGCGTCGATATGTATACTTATAAGTATAACTTTAGTAACTTCGGGTGTAATCTCAACCCATAAGAATATCCTAGCTTATATTCTTTGTATCTCTGTTGTAGATCACAGGGATGTCACGGTTGATGAACTTATCTACCTTGCTTCTGAGTTTGCTGGAGATGGAACAATCGGGCCTGACAGCGGCTTTGATAAATACTTGGAGATGATTATGAAGACTTGGAATGCGCTTAAAGCTATTGATCCACTTCCGGTGGTAGGAAGACAACAAATCGATTACCCGTCTCTGGCAGTTCGGACTGTAGCTGCTAACTAGTAACTACGTATAGCCTCTGTTTTACTAGCAGCTATACTCATCCGTAGTACATATGGAGAACTGATTACCTTTCCCTTCTTTTCCTATTATTTCTTACTACTTTATGCCTCCTATATTATCTTAGATCTCGACCTGGACCTGGACCCGGACCCCGGGACCGCTGCTAGCCTGTCTGCTTCCCGTCCGATAATACTCCTCATCTGCTGCTGCTCACTGCCGCTCCTGTAAACCCTTCCCTACATAGCGACTGTGAGGGCCTACACCTCTGGCAGTATGCGTAACCCTAACCCAAAGTTTCAAGCGCTTGATTAATAGACATCGCGCCTGAGTCCTCTTGCTCTACTTCTTTAGGCTCTTTTCGGGTGAAGTTGGTAGTTGGCTTTGGGTAGGCCGATTCTGTCCGAGTCGGGATGGATTAAATAGTTAAGCTACCTTGTGTTCTCGCAAACCTTGACTGCGACGGACTATATTTGTTGGGATCCTGCTGGGCTTGCTATCTGGTGATTGATGCGAAAACGTGGAATCCCTTGCTTGCTGCCGACTGGGGCTTCACGAATACTCCCGTAGCTGCCGACGCAACCTCCCGCAGGCTAAGTAGCCCCGACTTGCGTAGCGATCGGACGGGCTATAGAGGCCCAAGAATACGGCGTGGCCGCCGGGATCCCCTCCAGCATTGTGCCCCGCGTCGGTGGCCGGCGTGCGGCGCGCGCACGTAGGGAAAAGCACCGCCATTCCGGAGCAAAAAAAAAAAAGGCCATCGTAGCAAAAATGACCGACCACACCGGGACTTGAACCCGGGTCTTCTCCTTAGTTAGAGGAGTGCTCTGCCTACCAAGCTACGTGGCCTTCCGTCGTTGTTGAGAGAATCCGAAATAACCTTGAACTTAAAGGCAGGCGAGAGGATGCGGTTAGCCCGTGACGTGTGGAAGGGAGACTTCGGTCCTCTTCTAGTCACGCGGGCCGCGCGGCTGCCCGGGTGGCTGGGCGGGCTGCTTTGTAGCCCCGTATTCTAACCGATGTGATATACCCGGTAATTCGGAGCCGACCGTATGCTCTGATATACTATAGTCTCTAGTTGGTAGGCTCTTTAAATAGGATTTGCTTAATGAAGCGCTGGGTTCTATATAATATCTCTCTAGTTATCTTCCTTAAATTCCTACCTGACCTGTTCTACCTCGTTATCTAGGGGGATATCTCGATAACCAAATAACCCCCGTTATCGCCCTTGTTGTCGTCCTTGTTGTCGCCCTTGCTATCGTCCTCGTTGCCGTCCTCGTTGTCGCCCTTGTATTCAATATCTCTTTAGCTATCTTCCTCGACTTCCTGCTCGACCTGTTCTACCTCGTTATCCAGGGGGATATCCCGATGCCCAAATCGTTCCAGCATTTCCTTCTTTAACATGTCTACTCTTGACTTGCGTGGTTCAAGGCCATCCAATGTGATATTCTTCTCCCACGACCAGATTTTGAATTAGATTCCTATAAGTCTCCCTAGTCGAGAGACGAATAGAACGTACTTGCCTAAAGAACCCTAGTTATCGCCCCCGTTATCGCCCTCGTTATCGTCCTTGTTATCGTCCTTGGTATCGCCCTCGTTGTCGCCCTCGTATACAATGCGTGGTTCAAGGCCACCCAACATACCATTCTTCTCCCACGACCAGATTTTAAATTAAATCCCCGTGAGTCTCCCTAGTCGAGGGACGCCACAAGGCCCTTAAGAAAGGGGGAGATCTCGATGCCTGAATAACCCCTGTTATTACCCTCGTTATCGTCCTTGTTATCGCCCTTGTTGTCGCCCTCGTATACAATGCGTGGTTTAAGACCATCCAGCATGACATTCTTCTCCTATGAAGAGAGTTTGAATTGGATCCCCGTGAGTCTCCCTAATTCATGGACGCTACAAGGTCCTCGAGTGAGGTGGATCTCGTACTGAGGCCTGCAGCCCCGCTCTGCGAGGTAGGGACGCTACAAGGTCCTCGAGGACGGGGGATATCTCGATATCAAAATCGTTCTAGCATTTCCTTCTTTAAGATGTCTACTCTCGACTTGCATGGTTCAAGGCCATGTATTATAACATTCTTCTCCCACGACGATGATTTGAATTAGATCCCAGTGAGTCTCCCTAGTCGAGAGACGAACGGGACACACTTGCCTAAATAACCCCCGTTATCGCCCCCGTTGTCGTCCTCGTTATCGCCCTTCTTGTCGCCCTCGTATACAATGCGTGGTTCAAGACTATGCAATATAACATTCTTCTCCTACGACGAGGGTTTGAATTAGATCCCCGTGAGTCTCCCTAGTTGAGGGACGCTATAAGGTCCTCGAGTGAGGTAGATCTCGTACTGAGGCCTGCAGCCCCGCTCTGCGAGGTAGGGACGCTACAAGGCCCTTGACTAGGGGGGATAGCTCGATACCTAAATCGTTCCAGCATTTCCTTCTTTAATATGTCTACTCTTGACTTGCGTGGTTCAAGGCCATCCAATACGACATTCTTCTCCCACGACTAGATTTTGAATTAGACTCCCGTAAGTCTCCCTAGTTGAGAGACGAACGGGAGGTAATTGCCTAAATAACCCCCGTTTTTGCCCTCGTTGTCGTCCTTGTTGTCGTCCTTGTTGTCGCCCTCGTTGTCGCCCTCGTTGTCGCCCTCGTTGTTGCCCTCGTTGTTGCCCTCGTTGTTGCCCTCGTTGTTGCCCTCGTATACAATGCGTGGTTCAAGACCATGCAATATAACATTCTTCTCCCACGACGAGAGTTTAAATTGAATCCCCGTGAGTCTCCCCAGTCGAGGGACGCCACAAGGTCCTCGGGTGAGATGGATCTCGTACTGAGGCCTGCGGCCCTACTCTGTGAAGCACGTCCTCAGACGCTTGAGCTCCTCGATCGTGATATTATTGGCTTGAATCCCTGGCTTCTTTAGGTAAATAAAGACAATATGCGTTGCGATCGTCTTTTCAACGTGCCCGGCTGCCTATATACTGACTTATTCCGGTGTAGCAGACCGACTATACCCGTCATACAAAGTTCCTATGTCGATGTTGAGAATCCTCGCAATCTCTTTCACCCGGCTAATCCATTTAGCATCGTATAGCAAGCCTCGGCGGTCAGCGTCTCCGAGGGGCTTGAAAGATATACTACTAGCCGCAACTTTCAGAACATATAATTAGCCTTTGTAATCCCTAGTACTTAACAAACCATAGGTCTTTAGAGGGAGTATTATTTTATTCGTTACTCGAGGTTTACCTAGCGTATACGTAGCAGATACTACCGACTAAGGGAGCTTAGTAGTTGGTCTATCATGTAACTCAGAAATAAACAAGTCTATCTAGCGTATATACTATAGATATAGTCGATTAAAGAACTCAATGTTTAGTCCTTTATTAATAACCCTAAGTAATATATCCTTATTATTATTTAGATTATATCTACTAAACCCTAGACGCCTAGGTAAGCTCGAAACTAGTGTATAGCTACTATAACTATTCTGATTCGTTTTCCATCATAGCACGTGCAATATTCCTGCCTTCTTCCCGGTCCTCCTCGTTATGGATCTTAAGCCCCATAGGTTAGAAGAAACTCATACTCCCTAGCAAAGTGTTTCTTCAGCCATTGCTTCTCCTTCCTAGTATACCCGGCCTCTTGACTAACCCCGTCTGACTGGCGGAGGTGATCCTTGAAACGCTCCCTCTCGCTTTCTGGCCATGATACATTAATTACATAGTTAACATCCTCCTCTAGCGTAGAAGGCCCGTATTGTAGCCCGCTAGGGGGCTTTCGCAACTGAACAACAAAGAGCGTCTGTCCTGGGCGGGAGTAGACCACTGGGTGGCCGTCCGCCTGGTGGAGCGCATAACGGCCGAACCCGTCGCCACCTTTCCTACCTCCGATCAAGTTAAGCGGCAGCATGCCTCCGATGACGTTACAAATGCTGTCCGGTGTATGCAAGACGTTCTCAAGGCGGAGAGTAGACAGCATACTGAGCCCATCGGCCCTGGGAGGCTGTGCGATAGGCAGCTCAACGGTGCCGACCCCGTAGACACGAGGGCCCTCGCCGACGTAGTTATACGTTACGGATTCGAAAGGTATATACTCCGTAAACCAGGCGCGATTCTTACATGCACTTTCCGACGAGAAAAGAGATAGATAACGTTAGTAGGATGGTTTTGAGGAAGTAGATGTAAAATCTAGGAAGGATACAGGAGGGGGGCTAAACAAGGGATAACTACTAGGGAGGTATGACGTACTGGGCGTTTGAGCCGCTTGCAAATACCCAGGTAGGGCAGACCTGCTGCGGTAAAGAGGACATATTCCGTCTATATTACCTGAGGTTTTATGGTTTTTTGTCGGAGAGGTAGTGCTTCTTTGGTTTTGGTTTGACTTATCAAGTGCGTATAAAGTCTGCGCGGGGCGAGGGAAGGTTATTGACGAGTAGGGTTGATTATCGAGGGGTTGATTCTAGTAGCTTACCTAATAAGGTTCCCGCCTGGATACCTAACTGGCTTTCCTGGCGAGGACTTGCTTTTTCTATCATATAAGGCCGTCCTTCCCGCGTTTGTCGTCGGTTTCCTGCTTAGTAAGGTGCACGGGTCTATCAGCTTAACAGGGGGTCGTCACTATCAGGTTGTCGCATCACTCTTGGGTCTTGAACTGATTATCAGCTTAACTTGGTTTCCCCCCACTATCAGGTCGGCGCAGACCAGAATACTACTATATGTCCCTGGATTAGGTGGATCTCCGTACTGAGGCCTGTATCTCTGCTCTATAAGTCACGTCCTAAGACGCTTGAGCTCCTTGATCGTATTTCCTCTTTACGTGTCCGGTAGACCGACCACACCCATCATACAAAGTTCCCATGTTGATATTGAGAATCCTCCCAATCTCTTTCACCCGGCCAATCCATTTAGCATCGTACAGCAAGCCTCGGCGGTCAGCGTCTCCGAGGGGGTTGAAAGATATGCTGCTGGCCGCAACTTTCAGAACATGCAGTTGACCTTTGCAATCCCTAGTGCTTATGAAGCCGCAGGTCTTTAAAGCGAACATGATTCTGGTGTTTGTTTGGGGTGTATCTGGTGTGTGCGCGGCAGACGTCACTGGCTGAAGGAACTTCATGCTCGACGCTTCTCTCGATGCTATATATGTCCCGCCCGGCCCCTCTGCCACTGTTTATGTATTGTATAATAATATATCAGAGCCGTCGAAGAAACTAGGCTTCCTTTTACCTCTATCTTTGCTCGTGTATTATCCGAGAATACTTCGGAGCTACTAATCAGACTAGGGCGTAGGTTACCTTTCCCAGAATAGAGGGGAATATCGAACCGGGGACTGTTTTCTCCGTTCTTTCCTTCAACTATTTACCATTTAGCAGTATGCTAGAGGCACTCAGGCCAAGACCTCTCGCCGAGTAAGGGTAGAAACTACTATCCCGAGTTACAACCTAGGATCATTACCAAGAATCCATACTTCGGCGAACCAAAATAGAAGAGAGAATGAATTGTTGAGAAACTCGGTAGAACGAGGGTTCTTATGGTTCCATTCGTCGATCTCCGCGGTTAGAGCAAGAAGGGCCAGGCGGCTGGCTATCCAAGGACGCGGGGTCGGCCCTAGCACTTGAGAAACTCGGTAGAACGAGGGTTCTTATGGTTCCATCCGTCGATCTCCGCGGTTAGAGCAAGAAGGGTCAGGCGGCTATCTAAGGACGCGGGGTCGGCCCTAGCACTTGTGAGATGGGCCGTTCTGAGTTGTAAGTTCTTATCCTCTCTCTATAAAGGTTGGAGCGATAGCTTACCTGAACTACGTGGCTATTTCCCTTTGCAAGGGTGTTATACTACTGCACAGGCTTTGCCAGGCCAAGTCGAAGTAAGAATGAGGGCAGGAAAAGAAAAGATAATCGCCAGAGAGATCTAGCCTGGTAATATTATCTCTGGGGAGGAACTTACTATGTAATCGTGTATTAATAACGAACGTATTCGCAGTAGCCTTGCTGCTATCCTTTAGGTATTGCCGAATAATATACCGGGCCTTCCGGACGGGGCTAGGCGTTGTTTTCCCCTTTCCGATCCGCGATAAGATGCCGTACCAAGGAGAGTACTTCCCTACATAGAAAGAGCCTTCAGAACCGATTTCGGATCTGGGGCTCTGGAAGGCGTAAGGAGTAGTCTGTTAGCATTACAACGCACCAATGCAAACCAAGCTCTAGTCACAGGGGATGCGAACTCGTGGCGAGACAGCCTCCGCCAACGACAGGCTGATTGAAGCAGGAGACTATCGGGCGGCTAGGCGACGGTCGAAGTGGGCGACGTGGCCTACAGTCCCTGGTCGTCATTTTTAGTTAGCTCCTCCACTATCGTTTATATCTTTGCTTGTGTATTGTTTAAGGATACTTTGGAGCTACCGATGAAATTAGGGCGCGGTTTACCTTTCCCGGTCTAGCAGGGAATATCGAACCGGGGACTGTTTTCTCCGTTATTTCCTTCAACCATTTACCATTTAGCAGTATGCTAGAGGCACTCAGGCCAAGTCCTCTCGCCGAGTAGGGATATAACCTACTATCCCGAATTCATAACCTGGAATCATCACCGAATATTTCAAACTTCGGTAAACCCGACTAGAAGAGAGAAAATCACTAGAGAGATCCGGCCTAGTGATATTTTCTTAGAGGAGTAGCTTACTTTAGGTTCGTCGATTGATACCGAATGTATTCTCAACAGCCCTGCTAGTATTATTTAGGTATTGCCTAGTAATATACCGGGGCTACCGGATGGGTTAGCGTGCTGCTTTCCTTTTTCCGATCCGCGATAGGATATCGATTTAAGCATAGGACCTTCCTACATAGAAAGAGCCTTTCGAAATACTTTCCGATCTGGGGCTCTGGAAAGCGTAAGGAGTGGTCTGTTGGCATTACAATGCACTAATACAACCCAAGCTCTGGTCACAGGGGGGGGGTGTAAACTCCAGGCGAGACAGCCTCCGCCAATAACGGACTAGTTAAAGCAGGAGACCATCGTTCGGCTGAGCGACATTGTCGTCGGCGACGTCGCCTACAGTCCCTGGTCGTCATTTTTATTCATCCTCTCTATTATCGTTTGTATATTCTCTACTATTGTCTTAGCGCCTTTAGGACTGATTTCGGATATATTATCTGATAATATACCGGACTTCTTAGAGAGGACGAGGGGAGATGCTTTCGTTTCTCCGTTCGAGGGGCTCTTTTTTGATAGTGTCTTTAGCTATGAGAAAGGGCACGTTACAACTCATCCGTTCGAGAGTAATAAAGGAACGGTTACCTTAGGCAAGGGTGCCTATGGATAAACCAGGGGCTACCGACGTCTTCATGTTCTTGCGGTTGCGAATCAACGTATTCTTGTGAGGGAGTATTATCTGGGGGAATTTTATCAAGGGCTGGAATGTGAGACTAACAGAGCTGTCCTTTGGGTGTGGAATAAAAGGGTAATAGATCAATAGCAGCATAACCAAGTCCAAATCAGAGTCCGTTCGGCACCTGAACCAGTCCGAAATATCACTAACAACCCAGACAACCACGCATTGCTAGACATCCTACTAGCTTAGCTACTTTCCTACTTCCCATTGGCTGGTAGCAACGCCTTTCCCCGTAACCGCTGTTTGTTATCCTAACAGACATTCGCAGGGTATTCTACAGTATACGTAAAGGCCGGAAGAAATGATAATCTAATATGAGTATCATTCTATCGGCTTACGGAAGGATACATTTGGTGCGACCGGACATGTTGATGTTCTTCCACTCACCGCCCTTTCCGTTAGGGAGTAGGGTTAGAGGTGTACTAATCACGGCGTTGCCTTTAGTTTTCTCTATAACCCTTAGCAGGCTTCATAGTATAGTAAGCTAAACAGTGCGACTAGGCATATTAGCTTTCTTCTACTTAACGCCTATTAAATAAGCGGTAACGAATAGTATTCCCTTTCGGTAACATTAATAATACTAAGACTACTATCAATACGGAATAACGGGAATATTGCTACTTTTAACTGCATATTAGTATATAATATATAAGTTGTAACAAATATTACTCTTGTAATCTATGTGACGGCTTCCCCTCATCCGGTAATTTGCCCCTGTCTACCCCATAAATCTTGCTACCCCACTTGCCTTATAGGGTAATTTCTGTATGCTATATCGACCTTTGGCTAAGCTTATGATGTTGTATATCTTCTAATTTACCCTGCCTCTTAACTTTTCCCTTAATCCCTTGGGGCAGTCTGTTTAAAAGTATTACCAGGCATCTGTGTAGCGTTGATAACTGTTGTTTACCTCCTGGAAAATCCACATACGTTGTAGTATAGAAAACATTATGTTCTGCCTCATCATTGATTACAAGAGTAATATATATGACGGCTTGACCTAATTCGGCACGTCTCCACTTGCCTGCCTAACTCCGCTTAACATAATGAGACCACTCTTTCGCCTAATAGCTATATTCACGGCTTCGAGATGGATAATATAATCGAAACCGCTATGGCTAACCTACTGCTTAATGATACTAGCGCACCGATCCACCCATACTTCATCGCTACTGTGGAAAACCATGCCGATAAAATCCTCCGGCCTCTTCATTGCGGACTGCAACCCCCGGAGGGTCCTAAGCATCTCCTCTGACGACTGGAGCGTAACCTCCGTGTTCCGCGGGGTAGGCCGCCCGCTGGTTGCCTTGACCTAACAAAGCACCTTGAGCACACGGTTGTTGCAGCCTTTCTGCTCTAATCAACAGTGGGTTATATCAGTACGATTCTTGGATGGAGACATTAGGGGGCTCCGTACTTAACTTACCAACTTTTTTTGTCATCTCGGCTACGTCGTATGCAGTACCGCCAGAGTTTTTAGCCCATGGGAAAGACGCAGGGTAGAGGAACCACATCATTCGTGTGACCATGACGAGGGCGAGTTGCCCTGGGTCCTTTCGTTTGTCCGCTATAGTGAATTTATTCGCTTTTAGAGCGACCTCGGGCGTCTCGGAGGACGAACATATCGTCAGCGTGATCATCAGCATAAGCTGACACCTATAGTCGTCGATGTTCTCGGCGAGGCAGTTGATGGCAAGCTGATAGTGTTCGAGTACCTTACTATCCCCCTTGTTGGAAAACATCGCCTTTGCTTTCTCGAACCCGGAGAGGATCAGGTTGGGAATGTTTGTAAACGGGACGGGACACCCGAAATCGATTCGGGCACCGTGTTGTTCCTGGCGCTGCGCCCTCTGCCTTAGGACCCGGTTGTGTCTGATCTCTGTATCCTGTGCTTCCCGACGCAGGGATCCTGGCGGCCCCGACGGTACCGGCTCCGGTATGGCTGCACCCCCCAGCCGTACGACACTCCTCGAGGTAAAACGGCCGCGGACCGAGTCGGGTACCCATTCGATACCGCTAACAACGAGGCAGCTCAGGACGGCCCCAACCCACATTCCCAGGTCGATCCCACCTTGCGACTTGCGGCTGTTGGCGATGGCGAAGTGAAGCGTCAGGGGCCATGTCGCGTTCTTCGCCGAGAAGGCGTCTCTGCCCTTCTCGCTTCCGACTACTCGTACCATTTCGGATACGAAATCCTGCCGCGCGCGCTGGCCCGATACCGTCACGGCTACACGCTTCCCACCGGGCTTCAAGCCCTGACAGAGCTGCCGGAGTGCCCTCCACGTGAATGCGTCAGTCGCTGCATCCCAGGTGGATATTGCTCTCTCGCACATGGCAATATCTTCCATGGTGATGGGATCTCTACCCTGGTTGCTGCTGCCCTCGTGGAGGCGGCGCCTGAGCTGCTGGATGATGAAATCCTTGGTCTGCGGGATCCAGAGTTCGCGGATGAGCTCTTGGGCGAATGACGTGACGGCCGTCTTGCTGGTGAACGCGGCCTCGCCGAGTTGTGCAAACCATACGGCGCTCTCGCGGCAGGAGGCCACCCGGGCGCCATAGTGGTGGTGCAGCTCCCGGACGTGGAGCAGCTCGGGCCGGCCCGTCTTGGCGGAGTGGGGCCACCGCGACATGTTGATGACTGCCCCTCCTGACGACCCCGAAGCTCCGAGGTTTAAGACGGCCGGGTCGATGAAGGGCCAGCCCCCGGCCCAGAGGCTTCCGAGCGTGCCGAGCGGCCGCAGTATGGTCTTGGGAAGGTGCCGCGGGTGGCCCGAGAACATATAACCGCCTAGGCGATCGATGACGGCGATCGCCTCGGAGCGCGCGAGATCAAGCCCCTGTTCCCCTCCGATGACGAACTGGCGCTCCATCTCGCCGATGACGACCTCGAAAAGCCTGGAGTAGGCACACATGATCCGGGGGAATATCTCGAGCGGCATAGACCGGAAGATGTGTACATACGACTCGTGCTCGACGAGGAAGAACCGCATCATCTGGAAGATGGGTCTGATGACGGTTTCGAACGTCCGCTGTCCGCCGACCATACGCCGCATGTCCAGGGAGACTACCTGCTCGAGCCGGAAGGCAACCTCCTCGGCCCCGATCGCAACGTTGATCTGCTGTCGTTCTCTTGCGAAGGGTTTAGACTCGTCCGGTCCGCGGACAATGCGTAATAGTCGTTCGCGCTTTTGGCTTGTAGCCCATGTGGCCCCGGCGTCTGACGTTGGTACGGTTAGCGCCGCTGTCGCATAGCCCTTCGTTGCCAACAGGTCGTGGGGGCTGTGACGGACGCTACGCTTGATGTTCGAGTAGCCCTGGAAGTACCCAAAGGATAACACATCAGCACCCTCGTTCCGGTCGCTCATATTACCCTTCATGGCTGCGAAGAGTGAGTCCAGAAACATGGGCGGGCGGCTAGACGATATGTTTCCATATACTGGATGGAATGCCTGCGGATAGAACGTGTAGTCCCGAGCGCTTGCGAATTCCCTCGTGATCATGTTCCTGTCGATAAGCAGGCTCCTCGTCTCTGCCTGACTGGCTTCGCTATTGTTGTCGGCTACTACCCTGTCGCTATTGATATAGACGGCGAGCGCGTATGATACGGCGGTTATGCTTTCTAGGTGGAAGCGCGCTTCTAACTTAGATATTAGTTTCCGGAGGCTGTTATATTCTGATAATATACCCTTGTAACGCGTGTTGTCGATGCTATTACCGCTGCTTCCTATACGCTTATTACCCCTCGTGTCTGCTGTTATAGAAGGAACCTTATCGTCCGTTATAGAGAGCTCCTCTAGCTAGTATGTTTCGTTACTACTCTCTTCTAAGTACTCGTATCCGTTAATTTTATCCTCGCTATCCTCGTCTATCGAGTAGTGTCTCTCTCGCGGTAGATTATAGAGCTTATCGTTTACCTCGATTTCGATATTTACTCTATAGTCGTAAGCATGGAAGGCCGGCTCGTGCTTCGCCTAGAACGACCTAGGCCCGCGCTGGTGCGACCAGGCTGCCTAGCCTTCCATAAACCTCTCTTGGAACGTTATCTACCGGTTGGAGCTGATCCTCTGGCTTTCCTGCCTGCCGAGGCGCCACGAGGGCTCGACGCCCTCCCCCAGGAGCTCGGGAACTTGAAATACGCTGGTGATGTAGGAGGCTAACTCGCTTGCTAACTGCGTGGGCATGCCGCTTCGCTCGCCGGCCTGCTCCCGCCTCCGGCGGGCGTCGGCGGACGAGGAGGGCAACTCCGACATCTCGCTTGTCACTGGGTGTATGACGATGAACCAGGTCTCGCGCGTGGCCGCCTGCGCAATCCGAAAGGTTCGCCTGGTTATGTCGAAAGGGATCCTGCTGATGTGCTTGGCGCCGTAAGGAGCTGACTATCGCTGGAACGATACGATAATGTTGTCGAAGATCGGGCCGTCGCGCTTCGATATAGCCTGACCAGGCTTGCCTATAACGCTAAAGAAGTCGAGGAAGAATTGCGGGTAGTATCCATCTGACGGCTGCGCCTGGGTGCACCCGGTCCGGATAGACCCGAAGTCGATGGTGTGCTTCTCTTGGATCATCTTCAGTGCGTTATCGGGCTCAAAGTCCTTTGCTAAAACCCTTTGGATAAAGCGATCTACTGTTCTTTAGTGTTAGCAATAGTAGATAGCTTACTAACCAAGGTGATTTTCTACTAGGCGCCCCCTGCCCTGAGATGCTTCCTTACCTCGGAGGCGATGATGGCCTGTAGAGTGATCAACCGCCCACCTCTGTGTTTCTCCGCCATGGCCTCGCTGGTCGCTATTTTCTTCTTCGTCGTCCTCTTCCTCATTCCTCCATGACGCGTCGGCGAATAAGATTGCCTCATCGATAGCAGAGGGCCTGTTGTAGAGGGTGGCATGGATAGACATTATACTAGGCTGTTTAGCTTTACTTGTAAGTTAAGTCTAAAAGGAAAACCGATAGCGTCTATATACTTTTGAGTAGCCTAGGGTGTTCCGTCTGTTTCTATATGGTAGGTGCTGTAATTTCTAGTATTACTGAAAGAAGGCTACTACTTATTACTAGCCTTCTTATAAGTACTAAAATATTCTGATAAGACAACTCTTTGTTTTGTTAGTAGATTATTTCTTAAGTTTTTCTAATAAATTAATCAACAAACAAGAAATATGGAATGATAATGATGCTTAGAATACACTTAGAAAATCACATGTAAACTCATAAGCGGTATTTTGAAATAATGAAAAAGCCCCCAGGGGCTTTTCCCCCTCCGATCTATACCTATATCTCTCTTAGCCTCTCCTTCTTATCCCCCTGTTGCTTCTCTAAGAAAGAAAGAAAAAACAAAATTAGGTAACTAGCTCATGTTTCTAGGCTCTGTGTCGAAAAAAAAAAGCAATATAATAATACTGTAGCCATAGGCAATAAGGTAAATGAAAATGTTGTAAGATAAGATGACGAGACATAACTGGGATTATGGCATTATTTTTTTGTATAGGTAAGCGTTGCTCATTACGACAAAATCACTCTCATTCTCCATTGTCTTTTATTTAGATTCAGACCTAGCCTTATCCTATAGACGTGTTTATGCTTGGCTACGACTTTAGGTTAGGCCTACACTACTGTCTCCTTCCTGCTCTCGGGCCTACCTTCCAGTGTGGTATTGGTTTGGGAGTAGGAGTATTCAGAGCTGTTAAGACCCCTAGAATTGGCGACGTAACCTCTACTCTATTTTGCCGGTCACTCGGTAGTCGCCTAGGAGGGGTTGAGGAGGGTAGAGACTCCTCTTCGTCCGACAGGAGATCTACTCTTGCGCCGCGGGTTGGAGGTGCTCTTTTACTGCTGTTCTCCCGAGAGTTTCTAGGCTTCTGCGCTGGTGGCGGGGGGCTCAGATCTCTTAGAGCCCCCGCCTTTCGTTGCTGCTGCTGCTGTTTCTGCTTCTGTAGGAGGCTGTCATCACCCTCTGTGGCGTAAGGTATAGTTTTACTAGCCGACGAAACTGGACTAGTCGATAGTATACCTTGTAATTCGGTAGTAGACGATGTCAGGAGCTTCTCAACCCTACGCTGGAGAGCGATAAGTGCAGAGTCGTTCTTCTTAACCGGCCGATCTCCGAGTTTGAAGAGACTAGCGCAGAATGTATTTATGAGTGTTGAAACCTCCGCCCGGGGGACACCTCCCTCGTTTGTATTCGATGTTTCCCACTCGGGTCTAAGGACGTGGCTGTTATCCTCCGCGTCGACGACCTGCCGGACAATCCGTAGTAGGCGTGCCCATACGACGTAGTTAAACCGTTTGCTATAGTCGGGTGTGTTTACGAGTGTGATTTTGTCGGTAATATATGCCTGCACCTCCGGCGCCTGAAAGGCAGACGCGTTTCGCTGGGCAAAGTCGAGGACGCGTTTCTGTAGCTGTAGTGCTGCGTCCGCCGGATACCTACTAGTCATACCCCTCGACATGCCTAAACTATCGAGAGCAGCCTGTAGGTACTTGAGCAGCTGGGGCTTGTTTTTCGACTTGGGATTGACCATTGCGAGGTCGACTGCGCTGGCGTGGTGGATCCAGCTGATGACGTGCTGTAGTATCCGGACTGCAGCCTCCGTCTCGGGCTTCTTGCTTCGGAGGAAGCGCCTTAAGTCGACGAACTCGAGGCTTGGGACTGCCTATACTGCACGGCACACCTCCCTATAATTCGAGTCGTCCAGGGTCTCGAGGAGACCAACCTTGCGGTGGTGGGGCGCGCTGCTGCCCTTGCTGCCGTCGCTGGTAAAGAATATAGCCTCGACTGCATCGCGCGTACGTGTCGCCGATTGTATCGCTGTTGATAGCCGATTCTAGTCGTCTTGGCCGAGGTCCTGCGTCTCGTCGAGGGGTAGGGCTTTAAGTGTGCCTAGCGCCGCCTCGAGTGTCGTAAGCCAGTAGTCGTCAATACGGAGGCTGGCCATCCACTCAAAGGTGGAGATGTTGAAGGTCTCTAGGCCTAGGCGAGTCTGGCACCATCGCGTCGTTATCTTTCTCTACCGCTCGTGGTTCTATAACGTGACGAGCCTACGCGTGGGGAAGCTCTTCTCGCCACCAAGCCGTAAGGCCTCCACGAGTTTATAGTCGACAATCACTTGGGCGGCTCCGCCTTTGGTGGATCCTCCTGATGTATCTGACGCGATTGATACAAGCTGCGTCCAGATCTGACCGTGGTTATCGGGTAGGCTCGGGTCTCTACGGTTGATACGTAGCTTTATGTCGAGGTCTGCCGGGAGTCGGTCTACTCAAGAGTTATAGTTAGCCCTCCTATGGTTATATATATATAAAACTATAGGCTGCTAAGTATCCCTAATGGTGACGCTTTAGCATACCTTTATCATATAGTTTACACGTCTACTAGTTATCCGACTCCGGAGCGCCTGTTGCCTTGATATACTCTTGGAGGGCGCGAAGTCGGTGCTGTCCGGCCATAACCTCTACCTTGGTCTTATTAACGGCAGCCTAACGGAGAAACGGATCTTCGTCGCTACTATGCTCTCTGCTCCTGTTGGCATTGTTATGGTGGTTATCGTTATTACTTTCCTTATTACTATCGTTACCGTTATTGTTATTATCGTCGTTGTCGTCGTTATCGTCTTCGTTATCTCTGCTCCGGCGGATGCGGTAGACCTCTTCGGCAGTACAAAGGACGAAAATACGGTTCTCGGGTGCGCCGCGCTCAAGGCCACCTTTCATGAACGCCTCTTTCAGTTCCCGGACGTGACCAGGTTCGAGACGGCGGTTTCTACCTATACTCCACGTCGTCTCCAGAACATCTATATGCAGCCTGCCGACTGCCAGCAGGTAGGGCCTCGCCTGTTCTCGAACCGACTCGCTTTCTCGGAAGGGTTCATCCCTTGTCCGGCGCTTAGGGCTTGGGCGCGTTGCCACGCCGTCTTCCCCGTTCTGCTTCCGTTTCATCTCTCGGCCGCTCTGTAGAGTAAGACAGAATTAGTTATGTGTGACTAGATACTCTTATGTCTGTCTGGATGGTGGGCACTCCTGGAGGGAAAGTATGCATACGAGAGGAACAGAAAGAATGAATGCGGGCATAACTACACCAGACTTACATTCCCAGTAGGGGTTTTGTTATTTGCTTTCGTCCCAGGCTTTATCTATGCTAGTGTCTCAGCTACGTGGTCGCCATCGCCAAGCGCAATCACAACCCTCCCTTACATAGCTTATATAAAACAACTAGCACGTTAAGGTGTGCAGGCATTCCTGTGTGATGTTTTTGTTTTGGTTTTTATGCATTCTGGGCATCAAGAGGTTTCTTACGTACATACCAAACCCTGTCTTAATTTCAAGCCCCCTAGTATTGAAGCATATCCGAGCCTTTATTATTATGATATCTTACTTCTCTTTTAGGATAGTGATCGTTCCTGACTTAGTTGATGCTATACCCTTCCTACTAGGTAATTTATCTTCTCCTAGATCCTAACTACTTAGTTATTGCATCGATTTTATGTTTTATACAAAATCTTGGGATGTAATATGGTGCTTTATACATATTGGGGTCTCTAAATGGTAGGATCTGGAGAGCCTACTACTCGCGTTTTGTAATCCCTGTCTATGTGGTATGGATCTTCTGGCGTCTCCCGAAGCTTGATTCTCCCCCGTGAAAGAGTTGGTAAAAAGCCCCTGGGGGCTTGCACCTTTATAAGGCTCCTTAGGTAGTTTCGTTCGTCCTGAGACGCTTATTCGTATAGACTTACTATTACGCGTATGATACCGATTCTATGCGTCCACCATGCGTACATTCCCCATGGCTCCCACACTGTGCTTCCTATAGTAGGCTTCGTACTTCCTACTCTTGTACTTTCTTATTTATTACCAAGCTTTATATATAGTAAAAATTGCTGTCCTTGAATTTCCCCTCCTAAGACTTTTAATGCTATACATGCATGTTAACTATTTGGCTGCCGCATTGTAATTTGCCATAACCTGAGCTCCGGGTTAAAGTGGCTCCATCGCCGGGAGGTCGAACCACCGGCACTCGGGCTGCCCACGCCTTGGGCAATCCCTCAATCAGTGATGGGTTCCGCGAATACTCCCTTTAGTACTTCTGTTGGAACTGTTATCGAAGGGAGAGCCCTAAGATCAGATAATAGCTTTTCTATCGGAGTATTATTAAACTTTGCGTATAGCCTTCTAATCCTGATGTTTACTCTTAGTCTATCTATACGCATAATACTACAGGTAGGGATCAACTTCTATAAACCATAGGAATATTTATACCAAAGCCTTACGATAGGCTAGCATATAATAGCCTATGTAGAAGGCGTCCATAGATATTTAGGTTTGTCTATTAAAGATAAAGAATAATTATTAGTAAATACATTTATTTACCTACGGACTCTTTTCTTATGGTTTAGATTCCCTTAAGTACTCCCCCGGCTAGTAACTATATGTCTTTTAGTTTTAGACCTACTAGCTGTAGAAAATACTTACTCCTAGGCTTACTAGTATGAGCTCTTAGTACTATGAGATCGTTGGGGTGGTAGAGTGCCAACAGTCTTTTTATATATCTACTGGATTTAATTAGTAATAAAATGGAAGATAAAAAATTTATTCACGGTTCTACGTGGCAGGGAGCTGTTTATTATTTATATCAAATTGATAGTATATATGTAAATACTCATTCAACCATGATTTTTCTTAGTTTAGGTGTTTTATGTTAGCTTTATATACGGCTGACTTCTCTAGATTACTCCTTCGTGATAGACGCTTGTGAGGCCGTTGTCGCGATAGTCTTGGGCATTACATAAGCTTGTCGTTGTTATGTAATATGGATCATCTTATGTAATATAGTGCCGGAATGTGTGGCTCCCTTCCTCCCGCCGTCACCCAACATGTTTGCAGCCATCCTTGCCATTTTTACTCGTCGTTCGCGTCCTCTCTCTCTCAATCTCTCCCTTCCTACCCCAACCCTCTCTCTTTCTCTCAGCTCTCGGGCTCGTTCATTCGCCTTGATTCGACGTAAAGCAGCTAGAACAGGATGATATTTATAATATCTCGATATAAGATAAGTTATTTTCTTAGTTCTAATTTCTAGCGTCGGACTGATATATATTGAGAAATCAATAGCTCTACGTAGACGCGTATTACTTACGTTCTGTTCCCCCACCCTGGCAGCTTGCCCTAGCGCCGTACGAAGAATAAACCGCGCCTAGTGGTCCCTTATTATCCCTTTCTTGTGTTTACTCTCGCCCTCTCTCGGAGGATTAGATACTCCGTTAATGCTATACGTCATTTCTCATTCTTGAATATTATCCCTTAGTTTCTCGTTCTTATTCCTATCCTCCTCCTATGTCCTATTGCTTACCTCTTCACTCTTTACTCTTAACATGCTCTCTTACTATGTATAATACTTTTGTTAGATGATTACGGTTTATATGATTAAAAGAGTTATTACTACTATCTAGGTATGACTTATCCTTACTCACTTATAAATAAGGTGCTACCTAAAGAGATTAGTGATAAGGTAATATGAGTTCGCTTTCCGTCCTCTGCTACACCTTGTCTATAAGAGGGGCAAGAAAAGCGCTCCAGGGGCCTTTCTGCTTTGCCTCTCTACTATGAGAATGGGAAAAGCCCCCAGGGGCTTTTCTGCTTTACCTTCTCCATGGTAAGAAGAGAAGAAGCCCCCGGGAGCTTTTTTACTTTCCCTCCTTCATGGCGAGAACAGAAGAAGCCCCCGGGGGCTTTTCTACTTTACCTTCTCCATGGTGAAAAGAGAGGAAGCCCCCAGGGGCTTTTCTGCTTTACCTTCTCCATGGTAAGAAGAGAAGAAGCCCCCGGGGCTTTTTTACTTTCCCTCCTTCATGGCGAGAACAGAAGAAGCCCCCGGGGGCTTTTCTACTTTACCTTCTCCATGGTGAAAAGAGAGGAAGCCCCCAGGGGCTTTTTTACTTTGCCTTCTCCATGGTGAGAACAGAGGAAGCCCCCAGGGGCTTTTTTACTTTGCCTCTCTACTACGAGAATGGGAAAAGCCCCCGGGGGCTTTTTTACTTTACGTTCTCCATGGTGAAAAGAGAGGAAGCCCCCAGGGGCTTTTTTACTTTGCCTTCTCCATGGTGAGAACAGAGGAAGCCCCCAGGGGCTTTTTTACTTTGCCTCTCTACTACGAGAATGGGAAAAGCCCCCGGGGGCTTTTCTGCTTTACGTTCTCCATGGTGAAAAGAGAGGAAGCCCCCAGGGGCTTTTTTACTTTGCCTCTCTACTACGAGAATGGGAAAAGCCCCCGGGGGCTTTTCTGCTTTACCTTCTCCATGGTGAAAAGAGCGGAAGCCCCCAGGGGCTTTTTTACTTTGCCTCTCTACTACGAGAATGGGAAAAGCCCCCGGGGGCTTTTCTGCTTTACGTTCTCCATGGTGAAAAGAGAGGAAGCCCCCAGGGGCTTTTCTACTTTACCTTCTTCATGGCAAGAATAGGGGAAGCCCCCGGGGGCTTTTCTACTTTACCTTCTCCATGGTGAGAATAGAGGGAGGAAGCCCCCAGGGGCTTTTTTACTTTCCCTCCTTCATGGTGAGAACAGAGGAAGCCCCCAGGGGCTTTTCTACTTTACCTTCTCCATGGTGAAAAGAGAGGAAGCCCCCAGGGGCTTTTCTACTTTACCTTCTTCATGGCAAGAATAGGGGAAGCCCCCGGGGGCTTTTCTACTTTACCTTCTCCATGGTGAGAATAGAGGGAGGAAGCCCCCAGGGGCTTTTTTACTTTCCCTCCTTCATGGCGAGAACAGAGGAAGCCCCCGGGGGCTTTTCTACTTTACCTTCTCCATGGCGAGAACAGAGGAAGCCCCCGGGGGCTTTTTGCTCCCCTTATTCTACTTCACCTCTCTAGTACGAGAATAGGAAAAGCCCCCGGGGGCTTTTCCACCTACCTAGGCCCCATAACCCTACCTTTACCTTGTATAATACCTATACCTACCTACCTTACCTTATCTTACATTTCCTTATCTCACATTACCTTACCTTTAGCCATAGCCATAGCCATAGCCATAGCCTAGCCTAGCCTAATCTCTCTCTAAAATAAAAAACCTACCTTACTTACTTACTTGAACTTACTTACTTCCTTTAAAACAAAATTTCTTTACCCCGTTTTTTTTTAACCCTAACCTGACCCTACCGGGGCGGGGCACGCCCACTACTGTCAAACACGATGCCGAAAACAAAGGTAGATTGTTGTAACAAACTTACACTTCATGAGCCTAGCCCATTCATCCTCCAATTCCGGTCTTGGAGGCCCGTTAAAGGCAGTTGCTTGATGATCATCAACATCTCCATTGCCTTTGTAAATTGGCCTGATGCTGAATTTACGCTCTTCATATTCGATGAAATTTCGAAGTGGATCTTGATAGGCATTCTTCTCTCAGCTTCCAAATGTAGTACCTCTCTCTGGCAGACTTACTTGAAGAATATAGTGAATCCGTGACATGTTTGTTCGCGAATCGAGCTTGCCCGTAAACGCTTACCAGGATCAGATTGAGGGATAGTAACATCAGGTGGCCGACGATGGACCAGGTGTGACTTTGGAACCAGGATATCAAAGGTTTTCGGCATCGTGGCCTAGACCCCATGAGTAGCTCATCCTCGGGAGAATCACACTCCAGCTCTTTGGTATGGTCGAGTCCGAGAGAGTCTTCCGAACGAGCATACGTGGACATGGTGAGCTTCGTTCTTAGTCTCAATAGTGCAACTAGGTGTTTTGCCGTACGGTTGAGAGAGGAGATAGGTGATCGGGGAGAAAATGTATCATCATGATGAGCAAGTCTCTCTTACACATTTCAATTACGCCTCCACATCATAATAATTGGCTCGCCGGCCGTGATCAATATATTGCGGGATTCCGCAGCGTGATGCGATAGGGTTTCATTCGGATTTTCGTCCTTGCCACGTCTAGGATACTGCAGTATACCACGCATATTCGGTTAAGAGTGAAAGACGTTGCTTTGGCCTGCGGTGACGGACTTTCTAAAACAAGGGGTCCTTGTTGGGTGTGCGGGTCGTTATGTGTAAGCGCTGCGTTTACCAGGCCGCTCCACAAATCTACGCGCCAGACGGAACACCAGCGCAACTCCGACTGCATACTGTCCCGACATGCCACTATATCTAGTTAGGTAGGTGGTTCTCATATGTCTTAGAAACAGTTGTTTCCGAGAATCGGTAAGCAGGTGGAACATGGCCAAAGAAAAAAAGAAAGAGAAAAAAAATTGAGGTTCAAGACTCCCACTCTTGAAAGAGACAAATATTTCCCTCTGATTACCTCTTTTCCTTCTGTTCAACTTAAGTTGCGTAAAACATCCTTACTGCAACCATTCGCACTACCAGTCTCTGTTTTATGTCCATATTATTTATCTGCATTTGCACCGATTACGCACCGCACAACGCCAACATTATGTTCCCAGTGGTGGCTTCTTGGAAAACAGCGCACTATGACTCTCTTCCTCTTAATCCTGACTTGGAAGATAAGTTTTCTACCAGGAAACCCAAAAACATCATCGCAGACCGTTGGTCTCGTTTTCTTGTTGGCTTTACGACCACGGCTATCGTGGTGCTGCTGATTGCCTTGTGCAGTGTGACGGCCTTGTACTTGCGTCTTTTACACGAAGCCTCACCATCGCCGCCAATGGCTGAAAACTGTGGTCACTCTGTGGAGGAGGCAAAAGCACGAGGATGTGTTTTCGACGAGCTTATCCCAGCATGGATGCCAGCGTCGTGTCCGCGAGTTGGCAGCAGCGAGTTTGTGGCCGCTGGGCAGGAATGGGAGTCCCGTAACGGAACCTCATATTCATCATGGCGTTACTTTGTGGACGCGGAACTGAAGCGTGAAATTAGTGTTAGTCAGCTGAAAGAGATGGCACGGTAAGCAAACATTTCTTGTACTTTCGAAGAAAAGAGCAAACCGTTTCCGAGGAGGACTAGAGCTGTGTTAACTTTGTTACTACCCTAGCGATAGCAAGGAAGGTGAGGTGCAGTGGTGGGCTTCAGCTCGCTGGCATTTAACTCACTGTGCCTGGATTCTCACGCGTGTTGCCCATGCGTTGGTAAATGGCGAACGTCAGGACATGCAGGTTGCGGATTATCCTCACGCTAAACATTGCACACAATTCCTGCTGGAAGCAGCGTTAGAATGTCCTACAGTTGATGATTCACTTTCTGTTGGAAATGTTGTCTTCGGAAGTTGCTGAGATAAAGTGCTGCCGGGAAGGTTTTCGTACTTACTCAGCTTTGTAGCCCTGTTGAAATCATTTACGGCATCCTCGCACTTTTTGTATTTCAAGTTTTTGATATTCTCAAATGACTCAATTAATATCAGGATGTTAATCATTCATCAAGCTTTCTGTTACTAAACTACTAACAGGAAGTGGGTATGTTACTAATTGCCGTTATGACATGCACCTTCAGCACCCATGTTTCTCGGCAGGTTCTCGTTGACCGCCTCTCACAACCCTACCAAGCCTTCTAAAGCTTTTCCAGCGCCATTATTAAATTTTCAAGTGCCTTTAATTGCTCCGTTTCTAGAATTCCGGTTTTGAGTCGAGATGAGGAGCAATGCTTTCCTTTTCCGGGCCACAGGGCCTGCACGTGCCATGTAGGGATCCTACGACATGAAACTGGAGACGTGCAGCATAAACAGCACAAAACCATTAGATTGATTGAGGCTGACGGAAATTATTAAAGACTTTGTAATGGCGCGGCAACATGGTTAAGTCGGAAACTCTGTTGTCGTCATAGCTCCTTATTGCCACTGGTAATGTTATTCTAGGCACAATCCTACCGTCATCAATAACCAGTATATGAGGATTATGTCTGGTCGACTTAGGCATTGACTTGGTCACTGCAGGTAAATACATCAAGTGTCACTCAAGACGGGTTGCTTCTTTCATTGAGTGCTATTAGGCATAAGGTTTGAGCCCATGTAAGACGAAACAGTGTCAATTACTTTGTAATTATAGCTTACTTAAGGTAAGTGGTAAATTATCGTTGACAGACTCTGTGCCGTTCAAGTATGTTGCTTGTACTAAGCTGCATTGTTGCGGTCTCTCGGCAAGACTAACTAGCATCCACACGTCGCATACGCTCTATAACCAAAAACCCATCTAGTTCTGAGAGGCCTTGCAGACAGGAATGTTGATGACCTGCCCAATCTGGAGAGATTCTGGCTTAACTCCGGGGTTGGCGCCCATGATTGCCTCAGTGGTAATGTTAAACTGTTGGCCGAGAGCAAAGAAGGTATCGCCGGACTTGATAGTGTAGGTGGGTTCACCGTTAGGGACGCAGGTGCCCGGAGAGCTCTTGCAGACAGGAATGTTGATAACTTGACCAATCTCAAGAGATTCTGGCTTGACTCCAGGGTTGGCGGCGATGATTGACTCAGTGGTGATACCAAACCGTTGACCGAGAACGAAGAAGGTATCGCCGGACTTGATAGTGTAGGTGGGTTCGCCGTTGGGAACGCAGGTACCAGTTCCCGGAGAAGTGAGGCAAGATTCGTTGTCGGGGTTGCACAGCTTAGTGGGAACCAGCAGAAGTTGGCCAAGATCGATGACGTTAGGGTTCTCGAGCTTGTTGAGCCATGCAATGTCGCAAATGCCAGAGTTGTATCGCTCGGCAATGGTGGTAAGCGTTTCGCCAGACTTGACCTTGTGCTTCTTGAAATGGCCAGGCTTGCAGCTCGCGGTCGGGGTGGTGGTTGTAGTAGCTGTAGGGGTATCACAGCTGGTACCAGTCTGTCAAAAAGTTAGATCATAAACTCAAGAACGGGTGAAGTGCTGGATTCAACACACAGGAAGAGCTGCAACAAAGCTGGATGCAGCAATAACGGCGGCTAAGATAGAGATCTGCATTGTGAAGTGTAATAAGAATCGTTTTTTTTTTTAAAAAGATATATGAACGATTGTTTGATGGTAGGAGCTGAAATGAGTGGACAGACTAGAGTAGTCAAGTAAAAGAACGGGGTAGTTGGAACCTCAGAAAATAATTATCAAAGATGGGTGATAAAAGTCTTCGTTAATAACAACGTAGGGGGAGCGCGTGATTAAATACAAGTTTGGTATGCTACAATGAGGTGTGCCAATCCCATAAATCACTCTATGGAACATCCGAAGCCATCGTATTAGCGAACTTGGTCTTTGGAAACGAGATGGCTCTAATCACTTAGACTTTCTTTCTTGAAGGCTATTCCCTTTAATCAAGCACGTTGTAGATGATCTTTATTACTCTTGTGTGGGGCGAAAGCCCAGTCAACGTATAACAGCGACTGAACTTTTCTAGATTAGGTTTTCAATTTTACTGACCTCCATCCGCATGTTCCTTCATCCCTGTCACTTCACTTACGATATAAACGCCGATGGCCCGTTTGACAGACCTTGAAAACTCTATTATGTCCGTCTCATTAGCGGTTAAACTCTTTTTCCGGCCTGGTGCTTGGGTTTTCTCTTCAGAAGAACGGGTAGTTCAGTCTGATAAATGCCACTTTGCTGGTAAACCTTTTCAAAAGTAGATGAATCCAAAGCCAGCTGCTTTTAACCTTATATGGTTCATATAGCCAGAGCAAATTTATCTTTGGTACGCTCCTTTATGACAGGTATGTTATTCCGTAAGAATGCGGCTTTGCTTTACGTTTGTATTTTACCAACGCACAAACATGTGCGAAAGACCTGATTTACGAGTCTCAGGAGGGTTAGTGACGATCGGTGTATAGACACTGAGTCAGTCACCAGAGCAGGATCAAATTTTGAAAAGTGATCCCGTACCAACTGGCTAAAAAAGCTAGACCCACTCCCTATACCGACTGATCTGCCCAAACATTGCCGCTGCAGAGCGGCTCCTTGTGGCTTAATAGTCAATATTCCTTGGAAGATTAATCCTACAGGCCTCACAATTAAGGTTTGCAACATACTTTGCTTGGAAATAAAGTCCGCCTGCAGCTTGGATACTGGCAGTGGCTAGAATGTGTATAATAATGTGACGAACTAGGCACTGTTACGACCCGTAAACAAGGATAACAGCTGAACGACCCACTTGGACGTCGGGCGGCTGTAACAGGACATTTGTACTGCAGAATCACAGGAACAACAGGGATTCACTCGGAAACGGAAGAACTATGGTGTAAGTACGTGACGATAAGATAAGAGATTAGATCCGTACGCTAAGAATACGGAGTCCGTCCTTAGCATATACGGGATCCGTATGAACGAGGAATAGACCTTGTTAGGATAAGGAATAGTAAAAAAATAAAAGGTATTATTTAGACTTATATATAGTATAACCTAAGCTTAACTTATAATAGACTTCTATAGCTTTTTAGTAATAACTTTATATTTCTTTAAGATACTTTTAGCTTACTTTTATTATAAATATTTAAGCTTAAGATTAATTACTTTAGCTTCTACTACTATCTACGATATAGCTTATAACTTATAAACTAGACTTATAATATAATATACTATTTATTAGATTTATCCTTAACTTCTATTAGCAGACTTTACTATTGATAGCTATTATAATACTTTAATTACTTTTATTTAGTAAGTTAACTAT